GTGTGTGTGTGTGTGTGTGTGTGTGTGTATGTGTGTGTGTGTATATACATGCATATGAGGGTCCATATGCTAGAGGTACTAGTGCGGAGGTCAGACTTGTACATATCAGCCTTCTCCTTTCACCCGTGAGCCTCAGGGATTTAACTCAACTTGTCCGGCTTGGTGGCAAGCACCTTGCAGGGCCCCAGAAGTGGGCAAACCTGAAAAGGGAACAATTTCAGCATGTTTTATGATAAAGGACCATAGCAGGAAGACAGTTCTAGCTCTGTTGTCTGCAGAGGTTTATTTAACTCCAAGCATGGAGGAATTGAGGAGAAGAGAAATCAACTGAAGGGAACGTACAAGGTCTTAGCAAACAAACACTGAAGGGTCATGGGTTTAAGGGCACTTAAGATAAGGCTATTTTTAGTCCCTGTTGAATCACAATTCGGAACAGTGGAGACAGGAAAGCCCCAGAGTGGGGAAGGGTGACTCTTGTAGACAGGGGTTATTGGGATCCAGGACACAACTGAAGAACATGCTATAACCCTTCAAGTGGTCTCATGAGATCACACATGATCCTTCCCTTGAGGATGCAACAGATTTTCAAGATGATTTATTTAATAAAGTCCATGGAGACTAGAGAACTGGGTTTGGGATAAGATATCAGAAGCACCACTTGGTGACAGACTAAATTGCTGACATTGCTTTGAGTCTGACTAAACATGTCATATACTTTGTGACATTGGGCTTACATCAGAAGAAAAAGTAGGCAGACTAAAGGGGATTCAGACAGGCAGCATCATCTCAATCCCAACATGGCTCAGGAGTGATGGCGAAGACACCCTACTGAGGATTATCCAACTCAAGGACAGGAAACTCGAAAAGATTCATATCAAACACACAGTCCTGAAGACTCTCAAGCCGTGGTCTCCCTGAAGGAGACCACACAGCACAGAATGGGAAAGGCTACATAAATGTAACCCAGGCTGGTCCTGAACCAGATGCTATCCTTCCTCAGCCCTGTAGTGTAGTGGCATTTTGCCTTGTCATTGAACTTGTGATGGTGGCCACACCCTTTGGGCATGGTTTCAGGTGCAGACATGGTCCATTATAAAGCAGGGGAGGGGGTGGCTCGAGCTCTCTTGGGTTGCAGAGAGTATCAGAAGGGCAGAGACCGCATCTTCTGTTGCAGGAAGACCGAGGCGGTTATTTACTCTCATCTGTGTGCTTCCCGAATAAATACCTATTTATCATTTATCTTGGGTCTGGTGGACTCATTTCAACCCCTCCTTCACTCTAGGACTACAATTACAGGTATGTGCTACCATATCCAGACATAAAAGCAAATACTTGTGTAGATATTTAGCCAGCCTGGGATAGATGATAAGACCCTGTCTCTAAAGACAGAAAAAAAAAAAAGGGAGGAAGAAGAGGAAGAGGGGTAAAACAAGCACCTAAGCACTTGGGTTTCAAAGCATAAGGAAAAAAAAGGCAATAAGATAAATTTCAAAATATCATTGAAATCCATAAAATAGTGGCGAAAGAAGGGAACCACTTGAAGAAACCAATTGAAATACTAAACCTAACGAAAAATAACTCAGCCGAGTTTTCCTAAGCAGAAAACTCACTAGGACAAGTAACCCTTAAGCAGGTGAAATGTGAAAGAAGGGTTAGTTCTGAGAATAAATAGTACCCAGTAGGCTCAAGTCACACAGGCCTCAGGAGGGATGGAGGCCAGGGCCTGGGAGCTGAGGAAAGAATAAGAGCTGTGCTGTAGCTCAGCCATAGGGCTGTTCCCCAGCGCATGTGAGGCCGGAGGTTTGATCCTCTGTAATGCAAAATAAATAAATATGCACACAAATTAAGTCTCACTGGGTTATCCAATAGGATTCACTGAAGATTAAGTAATAAGCCCAACACAATGGACTGCTTTCCCTTACCAAGTGTTCTGGCAAGAACTTAAACAGCAAATACTAAATCCCCGGAAATCGCTTATAAATAATTCAAGAATACCAAAATTCAAACTTCTTAAACAAAATTCCAAGAAAATGTAGGGGTTTGATTTCTTTCCTTTTAGTTTCTTACTCTGCTCAGCCTCAGCCGGAGGATTGCAACTGATTACCCTGTGAGATGCAGTAAAATGACCTGACTGTATTAGTATTTTCAGTCTTGCTAATTCGTCCTGAAGTCCACGCTCTAGTTTTTCAACAACTTCAAGGGTTTATTAGGAATACACAATTATCCTAATACCAATTTTATACTTACAAACTCAAAGGGTATCTTTAGGGGCTGGAGAGAAAGCATAGAGGCCAAGGGCATATACTGCTCTTGCAGGGGAACCGGATTTCTGCTCCTAGCACTCATGTTAGGCACTTCACAAATGCTTGCAACTCCAGCTTCAGGGGAGCCCAAGAGGATCAAATACCTCTGTGAGCACCAGTATACAAGTACACATACCCACACAGCACACACACACAGACACACTTAAAAGTCCTAGCTCTTTTTTTTTTTTTTTTTTTGGTAGTGAACTGAGCCCATACAAAGGGATGGAATAAGGGGCCAAAAAATCTACAGTGGTGAAAGAAATATTCTATTTCTTTCATAGAGCTGGACTTCATTTGATACTGTGGGGAAAAGCGGATTCCTCTTCCCTCCTTATTTATCCACTAGGGAGATTATAAGAGAAGAAAGAACCAGAAAAGCAGGCCTAGCACCACGGTCCAGGCCAGTTCACAGCTGAGCATTTCGGCATGGCCCTCTCTCCTGGGCCCAGGTGCATCTCTTGGTGCTCATTAGCAGCCCTTCTCTGTGTGCTATTTTCAGAGTTCTGTGGATTAGGGGTAGTGATTCTGGTAAATGAGTCTGCTCTGATGGCCTACCTGTCCCTTGGGGTTGGGGGAGTCACCTCAAGTCCTGGCTGAGGGAGAAAAGAATTAGGAAGCCTAAACTGAGCTTTGAAATCCCAATTATCACTGTTACCACCACCATCATCATTGTAAAACTGGAGTTTTCACTTCCCTGTGTATTTTACTCCTCACGCCCCACCCTGCCCACTTGTGGGAGAAACTGAAGGTACGAATAATTGTCATCTTCTAACCGAAGCCGATACTAATGGTTAGTAGCACCTGAGTGTCTAGCATGTGCCTGATGCTATGCTAAAAGCTGTACAGGTGTTGTCCCACTTAGTCCTCGAAATGCCACTGTGAGGTGTATGTCACTCCCTCACCCTACAGATAAGGAACCGAGGTTTAGTGAGCTGAAGTGGGCTCTGCAAAACCACACACAGCTGGATCCCAGACAGCCTGTTGTCTAAATCCTGCCCCACCAACAACTTTGGTTATGTTTGATTGTTTTTTGTTGTTTTTTGTTGTTTTTTGTTTTTGTTTGTTTGTTTTGTATTTTAGGGAAAGCTGAGAGTCCAGACCTACATTAATCAGAAAACGATGGAGCTGCCAATCTGTTTTAGATACCATCTAAATCAGATCTTGTCACTGACTCAGGCTAAAAGTTAAATTTAAAATTAGTTTCTTCTGACTTTTAGTTTATTCTACTAACTGCAAAGCTATGAATCGCTCACCTGAATTGTGAAGTCTGAGTGTAGCTACATCCATTGTGAGAGTATCACAATTTGACACTGAACGTCCACTATAGCATGGGGAAAATTTTAAAATGTCATGTCATAGGTAATAAAACCAGCCCAGAATTCCTAATATAATTTTGCATAAAGTGACTCGTTACAGCCCTACTGATATTATTTCATCTTAAATATCACCCTAAATATTTCATTGGGATTTTTGTCTTCATCATTGGAATTCACATAAGACCTTTTAAACTAGGACGTTATAAGATACTCCCAATGGAAACCATAACTATCAATAATGAATTCAAGCTAAAGCTAGGTTACCATTTTTATAGTAATCCTGAAAATTCGATGTGAGAACTAGTCAGCACCTCAAATTTTTAAATGTGCTATTTCTTAGAGGAGTAAAACAATAATGCACCTCAAGAGCATATAGCTTTCCTAACTATATGGGAAAATAGATTTCAAACCTGAAGCATATTTAAGTAAAAGCTGGAAACTTCCATCAGAACTTATCTAGTAACTACATCCCATGGATTACTTAATTCAGAATTACCATACTTAATTCTATATTAGGGCATCATAACAATTTTGCATTTGGGAGAAAGCATCAAAGCATATAAAAGGAAGAGGGGTGGTCTCTCTGCAGTTTCTAGGGAGGCTCGCTGCTGCCCTGCTTTACCTCTGAGATGGGTTTCTCATAGACATCTTCTCCTATGGACTTCTCTTGAGCGAGGATGGCATCTCGGTGCAGGACCCGAAGCACTTTCTCTGGCTCTGCAGATCCGTAATGTGCCTCCAGAACCTCCGGCTTGGTTTTCTCAGTCTTCAGCATGTGGATCACATCTTCTCTAGCCTGTGGCAGAAAGTACAGCAAGGTCAGATGGATGACACTGCGGCTCACACATCGCACTCACAAAATCAGCACAGAGCTTACTGGGTATACCCCACTGCTTCAGGTAGATTCACTGGGGATCCTGTTCTGTTCCCCACCACCAACAACAACAGTAGATTGGCAAGAAGATACTCTGCTTTGGTTGCTAGGAAGCAGGGTAGCAGAAAAAGCATTTGTGCTAATATTAACCACACAAAAATTGCTTTACTTAAGTAGCAGTGATATGAGAGAGGAGGCAGGTAGGACTGGTCCAGGAAACCCTGTTTCAATGTATATGAGGTCAGCAACAATCAAAATCCTCAAGTTTCCTAGTTATGCTCTCAATATAGTATTCAAATCTGTAGGAAACCCCACTCCCTTTATTCTATAACCCCGTTTATTGTAGTTAGAATTCTATATGCAATTAACGAGCAGGCTTTTTTTACTGATTCCCTTCTCATAAGTAATTTGCTTTGCACAGAAGCACATGGTTGAGAACTCACACTGTGCTGGGCTAGTCTTTTCACTAATTCACATCAAGTTCTAGCCTTTTACCATCTAGCCTATCACCAGACAATTCAGGTTGGTAGGTCATGGTTAGTTTTTCAGTGGTTTAACTCAACATCTTACTGAAACTCTCAAGAACACCACGGCTGTAGGTCTATGTGACATTGTCTTTGGTCCCATCATGCAATGCACACACTTCTTGGTGCTTTTTTTTTTTCTATTTTTAACTGATTTGTTGTGATGCAGCTGATGTTCGATGTGTATTCCCCTCTACACTTGGAGCTGCCTTACCCTTTTCTACCTGGAAGCCTGGTCCTGAGAAAGTCACCATTCTGGCTATACATGACAAAGCCATAAACCCGAAGTCATAAAGATGGTGCTACACCCACTTGTTGGCATTGCCGAGACTCCTTTTAGATTACTCAAACACAGCGGTGGATCTGAGGATGGAGCAGTCGCTGATGTAGGTAGATACAAGACGCATGAGGAGCAACAGGTAGGTTCCCATCATGTTTGTTCAGATTCAGTCGCATTTCTGTCTCACAGAAGGAACTACCACAGAGCTGGTCACACACTAGCCCCACAAACCACGTTCTGAAGAAGACTAATCCCACACTGTGGTTAAAGTGTTCAGGAAGTTGTCTTTCAAGCATAAACTGAAGTAAACACTCCTGACAGCATGGATTGCACTATTAATTCACACTAGCCTATGTGACAGAAGCATAAAGGAAATTCAGTAAATTCTAAAGCAGTAAGACAAACAAGAACATAATTAAAACATGGAATAAATCCACATTGTTGTGTAATGGGATGGGCCCGTCTTTAAAGAGCCTCAGAATTACTTTTTGGTCCGAGACCTGGGTGATTTATACATGTTGCTCTGAGCTAATTTTATCACCTATGGAATAAAACCGTAACAGCTTCATCACGTGAATGTTGCCAGGATGGAATTAGATATACATTCATACAGTGACTGATGTAGAACTTGGCACACAGTAGGTCCTAAGTCAATGGAGACATTTACTATAATTTTTTCTAGTGGACTTCACTTTTACTGGAGAATGCTTGTTGCCATGGATATTTTTGCACAGTTATGTCATGTACTTTGATCAAGTGTCCCATCCCTTCTCCTTTATTCCCTTTCCTGTTATTCTCATTCCCCTCGTCCTCACGTCTTCTTTCATCTATGGGGTTTATGTATCTGTACAGAGTCTAGGATTCACAGATGAGAACATGCAGTATTTATCTACCTGAGACTGATTTATTTAGCTTAATATGATGGTCCCCATTTCCATCCATTTTCCTGTCTACTACATATTTTGTTCAACTTTATGATGGGATAAAATCCACTATGCATGTACCATTCTTATTTCCACATCTGTCAACAAACAACCTTGCCTGACTCATGACTTGGCTATTGTGAGTAGCCCAGCAGTAAACATACAAGTGCAAGTATAGGGTTTAGAGGGATGACTCAGCAACTAGCGCGTGGGCTGCTTTTTGCAAGGGATCTGGTTCCCAGCACCCAGGTCTGGCAGCTCAGAACTGCCTGTAACTTCAGCTCCAGGGGATCCAACACCTTCTTTTAGCCTCTGCAGGCCTCTGCTTCCACATGGTGCACATAAACTTATGCAGGTAAACACAAATAAATGTAAATAAAAATAAATCTTTAATGTTAAAAAAAAAATCTCAGCCGGGCATTGGTGGTGCATGCCTTTAATTCCAGCACTCGGGAGGCAGAGGCAGGTGGATCTCTGTGAGTTCGAGGCCAGCCCGGTCTCCAGAGCGAGTGCCAGGATAGGCTCCAAAGCTACCCAGAGAAACCCTGTCTCAAAAAACCAAGAGAGAGAGAGAGAGAGAGAGAGAGAGAGAGAGAGAGAGAGAATCTCTATGCTGTGTTGACGTGTTGACTTAGAGTGTTTTGTTTTGTTTTGAGACAGGGTTTCTCTGTAGCTTTGGAGCCTGTACTGGAACTTGCTCTGTAGACCAGGCTGGCCTTGAACTCATAGAGATTCACTTGCCTCTGTCTCCCAAGTGTGCTGGGATTGAGGGCATGTACCACCACTGCCTGGCTTTTCTTCTTCTTCTTCTTCTTCTTCTTCTTCTTCTTCTTCTTCTTCTTCTTCTTCTTCTTCCTCCTCCTCCTCCT